AAGACAGCCGTTGAGGCTACCCTGTCGTGTTTTTACCTTTCAAAGTGAAAACAAACATGACAGGTGCTCGCTGGGCTGTTCCAGCACTTTCCACTTAAATGGCAATTCCTCAAGCTTGCGGCGCAACCTCGAGTTGTAATTTATTACCGTTTCTCTATTATTCCCTCGCCTCGGCAGAAAGCAGAACATAGCACCTACCTTTCAAGACCCGTGAGAGGTAATAAAGCGTAATTATTTAGAATTTATGATTAAGCCATAAATTATGGGAACTTTCTTATTTCAGCTAGTCAGTCAGAGGAGAGGGGCGGAGGGAAAGGACCGCTGGATAAAATAACAGAAGCCTTTCTCTTTGAATGAAATGTCTAATTCGGGGGGCACGGCTGAGGGACCTCTGGAGGACTGACACTGGCCACAGCCAGTCCCCAAGCGGCCCCACTTAAGAGGCTGGAAAGGCCAGAGGCCCCTGCTCCTCCTGCACAAGCTGTAGACTGCAACAGGGCTCACGGCGCCCCAGAAACAGGAGGAGGCTTCAGTTCAGGGCTCTGGGTCTCACTGCTCCAAGCTGTAGCTCGCCAGAGATGAGCCTGAGCTCTCTCAGCACCCCTCACCGGCCAGGCTCTCAACCTCCGCCACAGAGACCATGATGACCACAGGACTGACCCTACAGGGCCTGACGGCAGCTCTTCTCACACCCAAAGCATCCGTTAGTGAGGCCGCCCTTTCTTGTAGTTCTCTGGGACTCTGGAAACAGGTACATGGAACATTAGGTGCCAGGCTAGCAAGATGGGGGGCAGGAGGTGAGAGAGGAAGGAGCACGATGCTCGGCGCCCCCCTGCCCCGGCACCCCTTGACTGGCCGGTTCTCCAAGCCCAGGCCCAGGCCCGGTTCTCTTTGATAAGGCGCCTCCCAGCGAGCCCAGGGACAAGCAGCCTTCAGTGTGACCTCACCTCAGAGGCCGAGGCAAACGGAGTGTTGACCACACCTGGCCTGTGGACAATGCAGCCAGCCTGGGGCCTGGTCACCTGAGAGCGAGTGACCTGGCCATCGCGCCCCCCTCAACTGTTGGTGCAGTGAAGTGGGATCAAAAATCAACACTGTGCATCTCCCGCGGGACGGCTGGCCTCGTTTGCTCACTATGGAATTGTTCACTTGGCCACAAAAGCTTCGAAACAGCTGACTGTTGGCCTAACACACCTCAAGAGGATATTTCCTTGGATTTAAGGAACTGAGAGTCAAGAGGCCCTCAGAACGGAATCAGGAGGCGTCGCCTGCGAGAAGCCGGGATAATAAATGAAGGGCGGGGGGTGAAGATGCGAGCCCCCCGTCTGCTCGGCCCCCCTGTCTGCTCGGCGTCCACCTTCGCCCTGAGACAGCCACCTCCACATCCCTCCTGGTTAATGAACATCATTCGGCTGCTGTCCCTTGAACTGTATAATCCGTCCCGCAAAAAAACAAACCCAAAGTTTGTCTCCCAGACACTTCCCAGCAGCTTGCTCCCCAGTTACTCGCTCTATGGAAAACATCTGTGGCTAAATAAATCATGCCCCTCTGAGAAAGGCCAGGGTGTGCTTTTCTTTCCCCCCTCTTAAGTGCGTTTTGAAGTCCTGGTTGGAAAATTAGTGAAAATTGTAAATCTGTTGGCAAATCTGGTCTTGTCTAACTCTGAGATTTGGGCAAAGATTCTAATTTAAAAGAAAAACCGTGACAAGCCCAGTTAAGTGTGTCCTCAGGCACTGCCAGCGGGCAGTGGGCTTATTCCAGGCACCCGACACGCTCCCTGTCAGACGCCCCTGGAGTATTTACTTGAGACAGCAGGGCTCAGTCTGCACTTCCTCTGCAGACCAATATATTATTATAAATTGAGCTAAACTGTTTCCTTTTCATAAGTGCTGCTAAGTTCAGGTTTCAGGTACCTGCGCAAGACAGTGGCCCTCCAAGGGTTCCTTAGACTATTTGGATTTTAAAGAGCAAAGAGAAAAGTTAGCATGAGACCACGGTTGCTTTTAGTTTTGCTTTATTCATTTCGCTTAAGAGGAGAGGGAGGGAAATTCATTTTGGAAATCAGATCTGTCACCTTAGTAGGAAAATAAATTCTAAACGTGGGGTGCCTCGCTGCACTGGGCCAGGCCGGCTCACTGGGGCGCTCCCCCATGCTGGCTGCTGCCCCAGTCTCAGGGGAGGAGGCGGAGATAAGGAGACAGAGATAAGATATTTTGTCGTGGGTATCAGCTCCCATCAAATAATAACACTTCCTGCTGTTTCTCAAAGCATAAGAGCTAAAGACACACAACATTATTTTCCATTATACCTTCATGACGAATCTAAGTCAAAAGGACAATGTAACTACTACTTTCGCTCTTCATCTATTTCTGAGGCAAGAAGCACTTACATTTAAGAAGAAATGGGGAAGAAAGGCGCACAAGGCCATTGTCATAAGTTTGGTCCTAAAGTCACTAGGCAAGGCAGGGGCATCTCACCAAGGGTCTCCCACACTGTGGGAGAAGGGATGGCCAGACGTGGGGTGTCAGAGCCCAGGTGGGATAAGAGGGACAAGTTCCACCTGTGCTTCTTATGGGTTGTCTAACTGGCTAAAGAACTATATCAATCCAGTCCTGAATTTTCTTTTTCACTCTAGTGAATACCTGCTTCTTAGTGTTAATGAAATTAAAAAAAAAAAAAAAGGTTTATTTGTCTTCAGCCCTCAATAAATATGGCAGTTATTCATATATTACTATTATTCCACATGTGTGTGTGTATAGAAAAAACAGTGGAATACGTTAAAACAAGCATGGGGCTGATTTTTATATTCTTCCTTCATATTTATTTTGCAGGGTTTCTTTTTATCTACAGTGAGTACGTATTATTTTTTTCTATGAGGAAGGAAGACATAAGATGTTATTAAATAAATGCAAGGAGCTGACATTTAACCAGTGTGTCCTCAATTCTTCTATGTACAGAAAACTGAGAAAGCGATTAAAAATGGCACCATTTGGCTCTTGTTTCTTTTGACGATGCAAATTACTATATCTTTCTGAGCAGAGTATCCAAAGGAAAGTGATCTGTGCGCCAAAATTAACAGCCATTGAGACTCAAAGAAATATCCACATTTGGGCGATACATTTGAGTTGCCCACAAGTGACATTCGATAATGGGGCTGAGCAGAAACTTTGTTCCCGAAGCAAGGAGGGGAGGGGCAGGAAGAGGGTGACCCTAAACCCTAAATCTATCCCCACGCAGATTTTAGAATACTGGGGTCAAGTCTAAGTGGTCCCACTCAGAAGGGGGGAAAATATAAATGAAACCAACAGCCCACTGCACTGTGGTCCTGTTCTGCCTCTTCCTGGGAGACCTTCAGCAGGTCACTCAAGAAAAAAAATAATAAAACAATCTCTATAACACCTTCTCAGAAGGTTTTAGGAAACTGACAGCTTTGAAACTGGTTTGTAAACTGTCAAGTTTTGTATGAATGTAAAGCACTCCAGGGTTACTGAGATCCGGGCTCAACAACTGCAGGGCTCACCCTAGGAGAAGAATTTAAGAGGTAAAGACACAGTATTCATGAACGTACCACAACTCGGACCTTGGGAAGGAAGGTGCCCAGAGCATGACCACCCAACCATCCCGCTGGTCCTGAGGGAAACGCTCCAGCAGCCAGTTACTGATCTTGCTTGTTAATAGACAGCCCAGACTCAGACGCAGAGTTTCAACAATGAGAGCAGAGGGCGCTTCGTACTGTTCTACTTTACATATTTACTAAACGCCTCTCTTTATGCCAAGGGATGCTTCTCCACTTGACGGTGAGATAAAACCTCCTTCTAAGTCAGTTCATTTTCGTCAAAAAAGAAAGCAAGCTTATTTTAAAGAGAAATAGTGCATGATCCAGATAATACAAGCACAGGTAGTGTTGGAACGAGAACAGGCAAGAACACTGAAGGTGAAAGACTGAAATTTGGAGAACGTTAAATTCTGAATTCCTGGAAGGCAAATCCCAAGTATTATCCATCTCCATGATTGCCCCTAGGATCTTGCACAGGGCCTGGATCAGAGCGGACGCTCAAAGTAATCTATCGATCATGACGGATTTTGATCCTAAGTGTTGGGTTTGAGTCTTGGGGCTCCTGCCTGTAAAACTAACATAGAAGCAGATTCCCCCAGGCAGGTAAAGGCAAGATCAGCTCAGAAAACTCAGGGGCTAGAAGCAAGAGGAGAATGAGCCCTGGGAATCTTTCTGAGTAAAGCTGGAGAACAAGAAGAAAGTCTGAAAACTTAGAGCAAAAGAAGCAAGAACCAACTGCAGTTTCGGTTGGCCTAACCACTGCTGACAAATTGCTCCCAGAAAACTAAATGAGGAGAGGCGGAAAGACCCAGCTGTTCAGGCAAGAAATAAATTCAAAACTAGAAAAAAACCTCTCCTGTTCAGAATTTATATAGGGACCCTCCCTGGTGGCGCAACGGGTTAGGACAGAACACTGCAAGCTGGCCACAGCCGCCTTAGTGCAAGTTCGATCCCCGCCCCGGAGGTGATCCACAGGGTGCAGCAGACCTCTCCTGTCTCCCTGCTGCTCCCCTCAACAGTGTATTGTAGAACATCTGCCTGTTCTGCTCTGCAATGTCTCTGGTGAATCCTCTCACACCCTATACCTCTGGCCTGTCCCCCAGTTCTCTGTGCATAAATAAATAAATTTCTAAAAAAAAAAAAAAAAAAGAACTTTTATATAGGCAGGAAAATATTTTTAAGATTTCATTGTGATCAGGTGATCTAGTAATTCTGATGAAGAATCCTGAAAGTTGTTTTGCACATTTGGGAAGCTCCATAGACACTGAGGATGAAAAGAAAAGCAACTATTAAAAATCAGCAGTATCTTTAAAAAAAGAAATATGTGATGGATGCAAGCTTCATTGTTACTATAAAATACCTGAAAAGTGCATTTCAAAAATATGTACGCAGTAATCTAGAACATAGAAATCAAAACATCAAAAGTTTTGAGCTTCCTAATTACCAAGCATGAAATAGCAGTCTCCTTGGTGAAGGGGTATCGCCAGGCCAGGTGTCTCTATGTCCCACGAGATCTTGAAGCCCACATGCCAAGTGTCAGGGTCTCTGCCTTCAAGTTCAGGGTCATCATCACTGTCCTCTTCTTCTTCAGGGCCTGTCAGAAGAGCAGAGAGTAATCAGAAAATAAGCACATGAATTAAAGTTCTAGATTTTACAGTGGTTTTCTTATGGCTAACTGATGTTTTAATAAAATATGGGTGGTTAAATGACAGAGAGCCTCCTTTAATGTCAACTGAAAAAAAAAAAGCACACTTAGGAATGTTTGTAATTTATGCCATTTATTTCTTAATCAAAAATCTTAAAGTAGTGAGGAAACAGCCTTGGATAGCAAGGGGAGGGAAAATGCCATTTTTTGTTAAAGTCTATGCACATAAATTAGAAAATCTAAGTTGAATAGATGGCTATTTAGGAAAATATCAATTATTAAATCTGACTGCAAGAAGCAGCAGAAAAGCTAAATACGCCAAGGGGTACAGAGGAACTGTCAAAGAACTCTCTCTCTCAGGAACACAAAGATTCAAGAGTTTCACGGGACAGTTTTGCCCAATAATTAAGGAGTGAACAATCTCAATGCACATTAAGTTGCTTAAAAGCCTAGAAAAAGAAAAGTTTCTAAATTCTTCTCAGGAGATGGAGTAGTAGTGTATCAAAATTCAAAAAGAAAACTCACATCCAAAATTTTTTAAACATAGGGAAGCAGAATCCAAGCCCAGGACCATATTAAAAGAACATTCCATGGCTCAGTAGAACTTACACCAGGAATGCAAGGGTGATTCAGTGTGCCAAAGCTTATCTTGAAATTTATCACATTCATAAGACAAAAAAAAAAATTAGGTCATGAGATATACAAAATTTTTAATAAAACGCATAACAAACAAGCATAGCAAGATAATTATTTTCTAATATATAAAGAAGTCCTTTGCATAAATAAGGTAAAGTGCAATAATCCAAAAGACAAATGGGCAAAAGTTATGAAGACAGAACCTACACAAAAGAAGTAAAAAGAGGCCAAATTCATCTAAGAAAAATGCAAATCTGTCATAATAGATATTTCTCACATATCCTATAAGAAAAGACCAAATACATTGATACTATTAGGTATTATATGTGTAGCAAAATGTACTCCACACTACAAATGCATAACTTGCTTGAACTTGCAGGAATCCCACAATTGCACTATAGGAATTATACAAAAATTCCTACTTCTGAAGTTGCGAAGTAACTTTCAAGTAAACCATTACTATAGATCTGTTTATAAAAGCAAAAGACCGGAAATAACCTAACTATAGATCCGTGGTAAGTTTACAGATAAATTATTTGAGATTTTCAGGTAGTAAAATGCTATGTGGCCACCAAAAGACATATGAGTAGGTATTGATATAAAGCGTCCAATGTTTTTAAGAGAAAGAAATAAATAAGCTATAATTCATGTAAAAGCTACTAATTCATGTATAAGCAAGTGTGTGTGTAATGTATAATCATTCTGGTAGAGAACTCAAGGCGAAATGTGGACAATTCTCAACACCAAAAAAGTTCAGAAAAGACCCAGGTTCAACGACAGTTAGAATGGACAGAACGGACTCTTTGGAGATAAAAGCTGAAAGACAAGAAGGAACAGACTCACAAAGGGTTGCAGAAGAGCTGATGAGAGAAGACCAAAAAATGCAATTTTTTGGTTTTTTTTTTTTTGACCAAAATGGATAAGAAAGCAAGTTTTACTCATGTGCAAGCCACATATACAATTCAAAACCACAGTGTCCCAGATGGCGTGGGCTCAAACACACACCCCCAAATTCTGATCCACTAGTGACTCTGCACCAGGAACGGAGAGGTAAGGACAGCACCCACTCCCACCAGTTCTCAATACTTTCCACCGATACGGTGAAGAAAAACAGACCAGAAGTCCAAGTTCATGGTCTCTTCAAGAAAGGAACACTACAAAATACCCTTGAAGGCCACTTCCCACTTTGGGGCTTCAATTTCCTAAGTCCGAATGTAAAACTCTGATAGATAGTGTCATATAAACAGAATCTGGTCTTTTTTTTCCTGTTTGTGGTTCACCCATGTAAATGTTTTCTCATTGAAACTCTTGAGAAAAGACCAACTTTTAGTAAGATTCCTTTAAGAAGAAAGTCATGTAATAAAAGGCCCAAAGCCATTTCCTAAGTTAATTCTGAATACATTTGAAACAGAATTCTCTGGAACAAGAACGATGAACATACATCTCAGAGAACACAAGCAATTAATTGGCTGTGACTTTTTTGAGCCCTAGTTAAGAATCACTGTGAAATTTTTCTCCAGGCTCAGCAGGAAAGAGTGGGATGATCAATTGCTCATGTCTATCATAGGCCTGGAAGGGTGGGTTAGCAGCCAGAACTAGGTACTTGCTAACTAGGTGATGACACCCTCTAGACAGTTCTTATAATACCTGCATTTACCAGGATTTGCAAAACTAGATCCCACAGATCAGAAAAAGAGCGCACACAGGTCTATAGTTTAACCCATACTATTTCCGAAGAAATTTAAATTAGTGCCCATTAATAAAAGTTGTTTGCATAAATACAGAAATTGTCAGCTGTTCTTGAGGTGAAGATCTGGTGTCCCTGAGCCAGGCCCCAGGGAAGAAGGGGACACCCCTTCCCCACATGGCCTGTGTCCCCACCAGCAGCAGGTGCCTAAACAGCCACGTCCTCCTTTGCAGTACCTGCTGGTCCCTAAGGTGTACGTCTGTGGCCTGTCATCTGCTTTTACAGTGTTTAAGTGGGACGCAGTCAGGCCTACTCATTTACATACTACCCAAGCTGCTTCACAAATAAAGACACGATTAAGTAGCGAAGACATAGGCTATAAGATCCGCAAAGTCAAAAACATCTGTCAGCAGACCTTTGGCAGTAAACTTTTGCAACCTCCAAGAGTCTTGACATTTGTGATTTGGAAGAGAACGAGTGTACAGGCAGTGAGGAGGCCAAGACTGAATAAAATGATGGTGCAATGTGACGAACACCTAGTGTCATGTGACTCACGTTAGCATCCAGCATAACACAGGCTTAGTGCTGAGTTACTCGATAGCCCAATTGATTCAGCAATGAATCAATATGGCAAGCCATGCGCTCAGGACTGGCCAACAAGAATCTAATTTTAGAAAGAATATAAATTTAGAAGGAAAGGTGTTTAAGCTACAAAGACAACCATTTGTAGAAGTTTGTACAGATGCTAAAGTACAGAGTACAGATGCTAAAGTGCTAGTCTTTTTGGGTGAATGGGCATGGCTGGTTACTTGGCCCTCCCACTTACCACTCCTCACCCCCCCCCCCCGCACCCTTCTCAATATGGCACTGATGAAGCCTTGACCAACAGAGGTGGAAACCGCAGTCAGTGTTTCTGATGCCTCCCATAAGCCAGCACCTTGGAAATGTGCTCACTGAAATACTGTTTGCTTGAAGAGTTGCTTCCCTCCTTGCACTGGGTAGCAAAGGGAAACTGTACCCTGGGCACACGTTTTATTGCCTAAGTCTGGCGAGCTCCTTTCTCAAAAAAATTAACTTGTGATTACCTAAGGCACCGGCAACTGATTCTTCTTGCCCCTTGTTACTTTGAAAATAGGCAGGAGCAATAGGTTCCCACTTGCTTTTAAGCTTCAGTAACCCTGGAAGGATTTTAGATGTCTCAGTGTTAGATGAATTCCCAGCGCCCACGAACCCGCTGTCAAAGAATGCTAAGTTTAAACATCAGGTTTAAAAGGTTAAAACATCCTCCCAAATAACCAGTTTGATTTTGTTTGCTAACTGGTTTTTGAGGGGGGAAAGTAACTGCCTTTAATAAAAGATAAAGCCCATGAAATATTTTGTTGATATTTTCGAGCTGTTTCCAACCTCTGTGACATAAAAAGCAAAAATAGAACCTGAGCGTGAGGGACAAGATTACAATGCCAAGCACATGGAGCGCAGCGCTTGAATTCTGAGCCCTGTTTAACGAGATACACCGTAATACTTAAGTATATGTAAATCATCGCCAGACGTTAAAAAATAGCCTTCCTTTTTTTTTTTTTTTAAAGATTTAGTTATTGGCCCTCCCTGGTGGCGCAGCGGGTTAAAGCACAGCACTAAGAAGTCAAAGCCACTTCCGTATGAGTTCGATCCCCGCCTGCCCCGGAGGTGACCACAGGGCGCGGCAGACCTCTCCTGACCCGCCCGCTGCTCCCCTCAGCAGTGTACTTCGTCGATCTGCCTGTTCTGCTCCCTGCTCTGTCTCTGGTGAATCCTCTCACCCTCCGCATCTCTGGCCTGTACCCGAGTTCTGTATGAATAAATAAATAAATCTTTAAAAAAACAAGATTTAGTTATTTATGTATACAGAACTGGGCACAGACTAGAGGTTCCAGGGCAGTGAGAGGCTTCACCAGAGACAGAGCGGGGAGCAGGACAGGCCGACTGACGAAGTACACTGCTGAGGGGAGCAGCGGGCGGGTCAGGAGAGGTCTGCCGTGCAGTGTGGGTCACCCCCAGGGCCAGGGATTGAACTTGTGCTGAAGCGGCTGCGGCTCGCTTCACAGTGCAACCCCTTGCACCACCAGGGAGGACCCAGCAGCCTTCCTTTTGATTCTCTTACCCAAGCACAAAAACTAAGACTCTGGGGCTGGCAAATGCTTTCTGGCTTGGTCTCACACCTGGAGGGGCTGCAGCAGGGAGTCCCTTCCAGACCGTGAACTCAAAGCAGGAGAAGCCCAGAAGGTGCAGGTGGCCAGCTGGCACCAATGCCCAATGATGCCCCCTCCGCCCAGCTCTGATCTCTGCCCAGTCTGTGTCTGGAAGAGCAGTGGCACAGAGTGTCTACAGATCACTGATTCTCAGAGTGTCAGAGCGAAAGTGGACTGCAGGCGACGGGGCATTCACTGTGGGTACAGGCCGGACATGGAGAGTTAGACTTACATTCACATAGCAACTCTGTTCTTCAAAATGCTCTCCCCCCCCCGCCCCAGGAAGCAGAAGCTTCTATGTTCAGACTTGGGATAATTTTTCAAGACCCATTTGGAAAGTAACGACAAGCGGCAAAAGTCAGAGAACATTCGGGAAACACTCCTGAAGGGTTCTTTCC